TTAACAGGAATTAAATGCTTGTTTGAAGGAAATCCTTACAAAGTATACAATATGCAAAGCAATATTGTTGTGTTCAAATTAGGATTACCTGATAGAATTTAGACACTAAAATATGATCTTAGTAAACTATGCTACTCAGTTTTTGTTTCCCTTGGAGCTGGCTTTTCTCTGATCAACAGGGAACCATATCTTGGAAGGAATGCGATTACAGCTAAGTAAGGTCTACACCCACCTAGAGATGACCTACTTTGTGAGACTGATAGATGATAATATTCAGGCCTTATCACACAAAGGGTTTCTGGGAATTGGCTTCCTGATAATTGACAGAGCCTCCAGAGAAACATCAATTCTTAACACCCACACAGATATCTTCAAAATATTTGAAAGCATTCTTCCAAAGCTGTTGCACTGTATATATTTTTAAATGCAAGAATCTGGACACAAAATCCACCCCTGATAAATGTGATCCAAAAAGTAAAGTTGGAGACAATGAATTTGTGAATGCATGCAAGTAGACTGCTAAGGTTAGCTTTTGTTGTGATTTGCTATCCTCAGTATAGATTAAGTTGGGATGGTTTCTTCTTTCCTCTTAAAATGACAATTGTAATTATGCCTGCTTTCAATTATGAAGTTGATGTTTTGAAAGTGAATCTGTCAGTGCCTATTTAAAATCCAGTCTCAGTCTTTTGTTCAGTGTCTCTGGTGTACTACGCACATGGCCTACACTCATTACTGACAATCATGTCTTTAGCTTTGGGTTTCTTAACATTCAGAGGGCAAAATAAATTAATGCCATTATGACAGACATTCACTTCTGGTTAGTGCCACTTAGAAAAATGGAAAATACAAGCAAACACTTTAACTCTTATCTACCGAGACTTTTAAAATTCCACTGTATTTTCCTAGTTTGAAATCTTTTAACGGGGACACTATAAAAACCTTCATCATAGTACTTCTCTGGTTAACGTATCCTAATTTATATTCTGACACAAAATTCCATATGGTACATGAAGGGGAAAACTATTAGACTGCCTCTCATATTCTGTGATTGAAATGCTTCAAGGTATACCATTGTTCTTACAAGGAATCTAAATAGTTTTAATATTTTTTAAAATAAACAATCAAATCTTCCTTTGTTTACCTCTTCCCTGTGTATCTTTCATATTTCAGAGACAACACAAATTCATCTACTTGTAAAACATGAATTAACTTACTTGTGTGAGTTTGCTTTATTCTTCATTTGTGTATATGCATTTGTCTGCCTGTTCTTTGTGTGATCAACTTGCTAAAGTTCCATATATATGTATACATATATCATCTCCTTTTTATATATGAATTATACATATTATTATACATATTATATATTTACAATCAACAGGACAGTGAACCTTGTTCTCAATACATAAGTATATAATCTGTTATATTAGGCCACCTTCATAGAACTTAGCCCAAGGCAAGATTTTGCATGTATGTGATTTATATTTACATTGATCTGGGAAACCTACAAGGATGAGAGAGAACCAAGACATAGCAATTGAGAGCTGAGTAAGGAGCAGGAGTTGTGTTAATTCTTGAGTTGGCAATACCTTAAGTTCTTCACTATACAATTATGCTCTTGTGGCAAAAGGAAGGTCTTTTATACATCCATGTTTTTGACAATAGGCCATACCACAAAGGGTACAGAATTTCCAGAAATGTGTTTTTTGTTAATTTAATGTAATTTCAAGATGGAAACAACTGAGTTGTGAGTATTCAACGTTCACAAATAAGCTAGACAAAAGATTCATCAGCTCAGTAAAAGAGGAGGCAGCTTGAGCATTTCTGACAAAATCATTGATGTCTTTTTTTATTTCTAACACTGACATTTAGTTTAGTTTAAACATAGTGCCATATGCATGCCCATCATGCACCCTACCTCTGAGCTATATGACCTTTTAAACAATTTTTTTTTTCTTTTTTATATATGGGTTCTAGCTAAGTAATGCAGGTTGACCATAAACTCATTGTATAGCTCAACCTGCCCTTGATCATCTTATTCTCTTGTGTTCATCTCTTGTGTCAGGGGATTATAGGCATGTTCCACAACACCTGACACTTACATATTCATATTAGGATTCAATATGTGTGAGTTCTATGATTAGACTTTTTTTTTTTTTTAGAATTCAACCTTTAAGCTTGTTACCATGGAAATATTATGAGCTGTTACATATGTAGGAATAGTGACTCAATTAAAATACTCTTTCTAATCTCATTTGAATATATTGACATTTTCCAGTGTATATAACTTTTATTCATGAAATGATACTTAAATATAAACTCTCTGGAAAGCAATTAGTTCTTAGTCCCAATTCCATCACTGCCTTCATCTAAGCTCCCTCAAGTTTAAGGGTAGCAGAAGAAAGAAATAAGGATCCTGTTCCCTTAGCCTCATAAGCTTCCATTTGTTGTAAAGAAACATGTACTGCAGAGGAATATGGAATGAGCTTGGTCTCAGAGAATCTTCCCAGTGAAGGTTAACTGCTTAAAGAGAGGCTTTATAAAAGGCTATTTTATTCTGGAAGAAAAACAAACTGATTTCACTACTGATCTTCACAATTGTTAGAAAATACATTTATAAAAAATACAAAGATGGAATTTTGAGAATTTACCTTGTAACTTACATAATCAGAAGTATCTAAAAACATGATTATTTTAGTGATTTTTCCAAATAAACACAACTTATGCACTGTAATTAGGAACTGAATGAATCAATAGTAATTTTAGTCAACAATAATAAAATTGTATGTGATAACATATCCTTTCAGAAATTGTGAAGTCTTTACTGCACAAGGTTAAAAAATACTTTGTTGTATAATCAAAATATCCTTTAGGGAGATTCTGCTGTATATTGGAGTGAAATGTCATCATGGCCCTAATGTATTTTCTACTAATTAATGGAAAAATGGATACATGGGATGAGACAGAAAGAATTTCTAAAAATAATGTAAAATATTAGAAATATTGAAAGATAAAGAAATTTCGTAATTTATTTAAATATTTATTCAAATATTTTGAATCAACCTTAATGTAATTCTGATCATTTATCTCAGAAGTTATTGATGTCCCAGGTATATGAATAATGTTGGTGTATCATCCATGTGGGTATCTGTTATTTTGTATGTGTAGTAGGTAATTAATATTGAAAGATGTTGTAACTAGATATCTGGAAATATTCCTGTTATCCTAGGATTAAGCAGCTGAGGCAAGTAGATAGCTGTTTAGACATATAGAAAGTCCCAGGTGATTATTGCTACAGAATAATCATTTGTCTGAAAAACAATGGTCCTAAGATTTTCTATTTTTAATTTTTATTATATGTGCATTGGTGTGATGGTATCAGGTCCTCTTGAACTGGAGTTACAGATGGTTGTAAGCTGCCATGTGTGTGTTGGGAATTGAACATAGGACCTCTGGAAGAACAACCAGTGTTCTTAATCCCTGAGCCATCTCTCCAGCCCATGTCTTATGTTGTTTTTTGGAATTGGTTGCTTTTGGAAATATATAATTGAAAGGCTTACCCCTTAGCTTCGTTATTTTCAAACACTATTTCTTCTTTATACTTTCCTCAAGGATCACGGATGTCAGAGCCGTAACTGCTTACCCATCTCTCTGATTGTGAGACTGCTACCAGACCTCAACTCAATTAATTTTACTTCTTTCTATATGGCTTAACTATAATATATTCATTTATGAAGTTAACACTATGGGTCTAATCAGTGAACTAAACTACATTGTAATTTGCAGAAAATTCCTATCAAAGTGATCAGATTATTGAGAATTATCTAATGTAACAGGAGATTGTGATACTAAAGGGATACACTAGTATCAAGGAAAAATATATTGTTCTGCTTCAGTTACCAATACAAAATATAATACCTGGAGTGGCTTATATAATGATAGCTTATTTCTCACAGTGTTGGTGGCCGGGAAGCTCAATATCAAGGTTCCAAGAAATTCTGTTTCATTGATGGTTCTCTTTGTAAGTGGCTACCTTCCTTCATCCTGTGTACTTACACAATGATCTCTTTGTGAGCCCATTTGGAAGAAAATACATGCTATCATGTCTCTACATATAGGGGCAGTTATCCTATCATAAGGAGCCACAGCATTCTGACCTAATCAAATTCCAAGTACCTATACTTGGTCCCCTCTACAAACACCAGCATATTGTGTTGTTACTGCTTTGATATATGAAGGGGAGGGGCTACACACAATTCACAGCAAAAGACAATCAATCACAATTGATAAAAGATTGGTTATCATTGTCCAGATTAACAAAATCTAACTGCCAAATAATGGATGCCATTATTTGTCTATCCTCAAAGCAGAGATGCAAACATATTGGGAAAGAATTGCCTTGCTTAACTGAATGTTAGAAGTCACAGTGTTTCTGCATTAGTAGAAATTGATGGTAGTACAACTGCCCCGAGGTTGGCAAATAGCACTCTTTCTAAAGTTCTCAGGGGAAATATTCATTAGAAGTGCCTCACCTGAATAATTGCTAAAAAAAAAAATTACCAAGCTACTGGGTACCTCTCACTTCAGGAGTCAGATGCAGGGGGAGCACTGTATGCTGCAAAAACCTGCCAAGTAAGCATGCTAGAACAGCAATGTCTCTCCAGCCCCCTCTACTGACAAGCTTCAATGCTGCAGAACAAAGGATAAAATATTTTAAAGGCCCAGAATTATTTTTACAGAGCAGGCTAAATAGTATATGCATAACCGAGTAACAATGACAGAATAATGAGCTTAGTGATACAAACTAAAACTAAACATTGAAAGGGGCAAATGAACATTGCATTATTTGCCAGCAGAGTAAAAGATGTTTGAGGACATTTCTCAATGTTATTCATCACTATATTCTCTGTATCTAAGTGAATGGATGAATAAATGAAAAAGTGTGTTGCTAATTCTTTTCTCTAATGGTTTTTCCTTCTCTACTTCTCTCGTTATTACTACAGCTGATGGATGCACTGATTGGTCTGTTGATATCAAGAAATACCAAGTTTTGGTGGGAGAGCCTGTTAGAATCAAGTGTGCACTCTTTTACGGTTATATCAGAACAAACTACTCCCTTGCTCAAAGTGCTGGACTCAGCTTAATGTGGTATAAAAGCTCTGGTCCAGGAGATTTTGAAGAACCCATTGCCTTTGATGGAAGCAGAATGAGCAAAGAAGAAGACTCTATTTGGTTCAGACCAACGTTACTACAGGACAGTGGGCTTTATGCCTGTGTCATCAGGTACGTTTTAATGAAATTATTATTGACTTGATGAAAACTACATAGTGTTTTCTAATACTCAAAGCTTCCTGCTGTCACTTTCAACTGTACATATTGTCTCAATATTTGCATGTGTTGCCATGTACTAAAATTTAGAATCTAAATCATAAAAAGATGGGATTGGAATTCATATTGAGACATTATTTCAAGCTTATGGAGAAATGGGATACCATCTGGGTATCTACTTCTGTTGCCAGAAATTCCTAAAGACTATGAAATAAAATTTATAGGGGAGGTAAAATGTTGCATATAAAATGTAAGAAAAATCTTGCAGAAAAGATGCATAGTTTATTGCTAAAAGGGCTGTAACATTTTGTTATTGCCCTTCACAGATGGAAAGAGCAGAGACACCTCTGCTTTATGCACTTCTGCAAAGACGATTTAGGTATTAGTGGTGCGTGTGTGTGTGTGTGCATGTGTGTACAGTGCCTGTGCACATACAGGAAAAAAATAACATTGCCATATTAGGAACTATAAAGGTTTTGTTTTATAACCTTTCGTTATTGACAGTTACCAGTCAATTAAAAAAAATCAAGATTTTCTCTTGGTAAGGATCAAAGTTAGTAACATGTCTTTGCCATTATCCTTAAAGAGATTAATTATTTGCATATTTCTACATATTTTTCTTGGAATAAAAGACATACAGTTTATTTAATAATAATTCATCAAAACAATATCCTTTTAACACATTAAAAATGTAAAAAAATAAGCATGTTTGGTCCTTCGTAGACTATAAATCACACCCTCCATGAATGAGAGTGGATGTAATTACAAAGCTGACTAGAGGAAAAGTGTGTTTAAATCTATTTATTGACTTTTCCGAGTTTCATTGTTTTGCTATGTAATGAAAACTTTAAAGTAGTTGTCTCTGAAATTTCAGAATGTCAAAAAATTACCTAATTTTTCCACTAATTAAAATTCAGATTTTACTTCTGTAATTCTGATTAGCACTAATCACTCATGTGCTTAAGAATCAGTTCTGCACTGTCCTGTGAATTATGCTGGACCATGGCCACAGTCATGTTAGGGTGATAGAATACCTGAAAATGACAGAAGAGTTAAATATAAAAGAATCATTCAAAGCACAAAAACATGTATTAGAATTTAAAGAAATATAGGGGAATTAAGTTGTAATAGAGAAAGGTACTTATACCTTTCTGAAAGAGCAAATGTACTTCTCTTGGCCAATGATTGTTCTTGTAGATTCTAATGAACCTTTTACAATCAGACATTACTGTAATAAAAAAATGTTAGCTCTGGGGCTCTGGGTATTGATAAATGATTGCCATTATTAATATAGACAAGGAGTAATGTTTAGACCAACTGCTTATGTTGGACCATCATTTCATTTCATATTTACTGCCATGTAAAAAGTTCAGGTGACTGTATAAAACACATAAATTCAGGGTCATTATTCATCTATATTTACTCATGCTGAATTGTTTTGAAATACACTTTTTCATCATTTATTGTGGATGTCAAAATAATGTGTCACATTAGTAATCTGAATTTCAAAAGCACTGACCTACATTTTTTTATATGTTTAAATATAACCTCTGATCCAGTCCTTTGAGAAATTTCAATAAAATGACCCCTGGATTTAGACTTGCATGGATGAATGAAAAGTTGACGATTTTCCAAAATGATGGCATTTTCCATCTGTTCATGTGTCTATATTTTAATGGAAGGTGAAACTGAAAGGCAAAGGGCTTAAAGTTTAATGCATGACAAGCAGCATTCCAAAGGAAGTGACAAAGTGAGGAAATAGTAACTCTTGCCATTGAAATCCAAGCATGCAATTGATTTGCAGCTCACAATGAAGTGGTTTCCTTTTGCAATTTGGAGAAAGGTACTCAAAACTCTATTTAAAAAAGCATTTAAAGAAACATGGCTTGCTACTGATGATTATGAGTATAGGGGCTGTTATTTGAGTCTCTGAAATTTTTTGCATTTTGTAAGCTATCAGGCAGATCACAAACTGTCATGATTAGTTTCTGAATAATTCACTAGCAAAGAAATTTAGAAGTTTTAAGGCATTAGATTCTAAGATAAGCTTTCAATTTTTCTCATAAGTATATGGTATTTTTTGTTATTTCTTTTTTAAAATTTATTTTATATAACCTAGTCCATTTAAATGATAACAAACATTTATAGACAATATTTGGGAATTTGGGCGTCGTTCTTTCCAAACTACTTCCTGCTGGTAAGGGGCGCTGCCATGGGGATTCGAAGAAGTTTCAGAAATCCTGGCTGTAGTCAGTAAGGCTGCTTTGTCCAGCTGTTTTGAATGTAGGATCACCTGGTACTCGGTTTCAGGCAGTCTGGCTTGATCAAACCACATTAGTCTGGAAGGAATCCACACCTTTTCATTTTCTGTGGAAACAAAAATATAAATCCTTTTCTCCAGTAACTTGTCCTTGAACTTAAATTTTGGAGTCAAAACATGTTTTTATTTAATTTATTATTTTACATGTCGATCCCAGTTCCCTCTCCCTCCCTCCCTTCCTTCATTCCTCCCTCCTTCCCTCCCTTCCTTCTTCCCTCCCTTTTACCCTCTCTGCCCTCTCACATGCACTCTAAACACCGTCCCCTCCCATCCCCCCATCCCAATTCCATATGTAGGGGAATGCCATCCAGGAGGGGTCATGTAGATCTAACAGGTCATGTGAAGTAGGGACTAGGGCTTCTCTCCTGTCTCTAGGTTAAGGCAGTTATCCCTCCATGGGGGATGTGTTCGCAAAGTCCTTTTGTGCACCAGGGATACATCCTGGCTTCACTGTCTGAGGTTCCTTAGACTGCTCAGTCCTTCTGGCTGAGACCCATATTCAGGGGGGGCTGAGTTAGTCCCATGCTGGCTTCCCAGCTATCAGTCTGGTTGTTCAGGTAAGCTGTCTCTATGTGTGTCTGCAGCCTGGTCTTGTCCTCTCCATCTGTATCTGGGTTCTACTTTGACTCAGTGTTTATGTATGTGTGTTTGCTCATGTTTCCAACAGGCATTAGTTGAGGGCTCCATGGATAAGTTAGTTGTTGATGTCACTCTCCGGGAAGGGCATTTATGGTAGCCTTTCCACGGAAGCTCAAATTGTTAGTTGGCAGCAGTCTTGTATTAACTTACAAGTGACATAATTTAACAAGCCTTATGTATAGGTAATTCCCATTTATACCTAAATCTGTGCAGTGAAGTATTGTAAGTCACAGAAATATCTATGATTACTATTACTATAATGAATAAAAGTTCCTTCAACTTTTGAAAGACCAACACCACATAGTTGCTTGAATGTTGTATTTTTTTTATTAAGTTTCCCTTATTCTATTTAAATTTTTCATAAAATGAAAGAGAGTAACAGTATGTTTCTATTATTACCATCTATGTAAATGAATATAATTTACAATAGAATACTGATTTTCATATATTCTTGACCTCCTAATTTTTATTCATCATTTTCAATAATTATGTGGAATTGGAAGTTTCTTATATAGAGCTGGCTAGTACACATGTAAGCATTCCAATGCCTCAAATGGTGACATATTGTGGATTCATCCATTTAATTCACAAAGTAATTCTGAGTTTATTATAAAATTATGATGTGCAAGGAGAAATAATTTACAGTGATATGTTGAAACCTTTCCTAAGGTTTGTTCAATGGTGACAGTTTTCAAAGCTATGGTCCAGTATCATGAAGATAATCCCAGGAAGGCAGTCAAGATATAAAGTAACACTACCAATGCAAACAGCTCTCCTGTTCATACATAGTTATGCTCTATCTGTGTAATACTACACTCAAAATGGAAGCCAACTTATAATATATCATTTTTTGTAATTGGATTTTTCTCTCAGTATAACTAGTTTGAAATCCATCTAATTTTTTGCATTTCTCTTGATTCTTATATGGTGTCTGTTTGTTTATTAGTTCATTGAACAGCATCTGGTCTATTTCTGATGTGAGGCAGGTAAATCTATAACTTCTTCCCTCAGTGATAACCCACTTCTACAGTCTCAGCACAGCAAGGAAAGTGTACTTAGTGATCAGCCTGATTTCATAGGGAAACCCTATCCAAAAAAGGCAATCAAATTAAAACAAAACAAACAAAAATATCTATAAATTTTAAAATTAAAAATTAGTTTTTCTTTTTATGGCATAAATATGCAAGAGTAAGTTTAAGTTATAAGACTCTTATGCTATAAATTTAAAAAAGAAATCAGTCAAACTCATTGTCTTAGTTACTATCTCATTTATGTGAAGGGACACATGGACAACAAAACATCTAAAAGAGAACATTTAATTGTGGACTTGCTTGCAGTTTCAGAGGTATAGTTCATGATCATAAAGGTAGAAAGTATGGCAGCAGGCAGGCAGGCATGGTGCTGAAGTAGTAGTGGAGAGCTTACATTCTATCTTCAAGTTGGAGAAAGAGACAGAGTATCTGGACCTAGCCTGAGCTTTTGAAACCTCAAAGCCCAAGGCCAGTAATACACCTCTCTCAACAAATCCTTCTCAAATAGTGCCACTCCCTGATAACAAAGCATACAAATGGGTGTCATTCTCATTCAAACCAGAACATTATTTGACAAAGTGACTTTACAGGGTTTCTACTGACAAGACACAGGTTATAGAATTCAGCACTAATTTCCCTACTTTGTCATTAAAGCCATTCTAGTAGGTTTCTTGTGACATCTCATTATTATTTTAATTTTCCTTTCTCTAATAGTTAATGATGGCCAACATCTTTTTGTGCTAATTCACTATCTTTGTCTTCTTCAGTAAAATTTCTGTTAATGTATTTGTCTATTATTTTATAATTGGATTGCATCTGTTTTCCTTGCTGGGTTTTAAAAAAATATTTGCATACATAGATTCCATTTGTTTTATGAATACGTGATTTGCAAATACTTTCTGCCATGCCATTGTTCATCACTGTAATGTCTTTTGCAGAACAAAGTTTTCAGTTTTAACGATGCT